TGTTAAGTGAAATGAGTCAGAAAGAGCGGGATAGACATAGAAAGATTCCATTCATCTGGGAAACATAAAGTAACAAAATAGGAGACTAACACCCAAGAGTGGCCGAGATTAGTACCAGGAATTTTGCTCCATGGCTTGGAGGCCAGCCACACATGCTAGGGGGAAAGGGAGCTCAAATAGAGAAGGGAGCACCAAGTAAAGGGTGTTGGGAGGATCCTCCCAGGATGGGAGAAGTATGCTGAAAGTAGACTATAGACCAAACATGATTGCCACTCAATGCCCCTTTTGCAAACCACAATACCCAAAATGAGAGAGAGAGAGAGACAGAGAGAGAGACAGAGAGACAGAGAGACAGAGAGAGACAGAGAGAGACAGAGAGAGACAGAGAGAGACAGAGAAAACAAAAGGGAATGCCCTGCCACAGAAGCAGGGTGGGATGGAGGATATGGGGGGTGGGAGGGATACTGGGACCCGTTGTGGTGGAAAATGGGCACTGATGGAGGGATGGGTACTTGATCATTGTATAACTGAAACTCAAGCACAAAAATTTGTAAGTCTACAACTGTACCTCATGGTGTTTCACTAATAAAAAAAATAAAAATAAAGAAAGAATATACTAAAAAAATAAAGATAAAAAAAAGAAAGAAAATAGGAGACTAACACCCAAGAATAGCCGAGATAAGTACCAGGAGGTTTACTCCATGGCTTGGAGGCCTACCACACATGCAAGGGGAAAAGGCAGCTCAGATAGAGAAGGGAGCACCAAATAAAGGGTGTTGGGAGGATCCTCCCAGGATGGAAGAAACATGCTGAAAGTAGACTGTAGACCGAACATGATTGCCACTCAATGCCTCTTTTGCAAACCGCAACACCCAAAAGGAGAGAGAGAGAGAGAGGGAACAAAAGGGAATGTCCAGCCACAGAAGTAGGGTGGGAAAGGGGGAATGGGGGGGTGGGAGGGATACTGAGATCCGTAGTGGTAGAAAATGGGCACTGGTGGAGGGATGGGTACTTGATCATTGTATAATTGAAGCCCAAGCACAAAAACTTGTAAGTCTACAACTATACCTCATGGTGTTTTATTAATAAAAATTTTTAAAAAAGAAATCTCCATTTTTAATAAACTTTCTTAATCATGGCAATATTTTATTTCCATTTTCTATCCTTGGAATAACCATAGTGTTCAGCAAAAACTACAAATATTTTGAACTTCTATTCTTTTATGATCAAGAAAATTACAGAACCCTGACCCAGGCTGATGGCTGAGAGGGCAGAAGTTCTTGTTTCACACATTTTATGTATATTTAAATATACATAAACATACATATATGCACATACATATATTTCCTCCTGAAACTGTCTTAAACATAATCTTTCTTGAAACCAAATGAGAACAAAATATAACTACATGTTAAGTCATACAATGAACATCTTGGTTGCCTCACCCAAACAATACACAGTCTGACAGGAGAAGCCCCCATACTTCGAGGCTTACTGTTGACAGTCTTCACACAGTATCACTTCAATTCTTCACTGTAGTCATGTAGACTATAAATTATCTGATTCCTGGAACCATGTGGTCCCTTGAGTACCACGGGTGTGACCCCCAAACCAATAAATAAAACTAATTTTAGGGGCCAAAGCTATAGTATGGCAGGTAGACCCTTGTCTTGCACATAAACAAGCCAATTTCGATTCCAGGCATAACATGTGGTCCCTCAAGTTCTACCAGGAGTGATTCCTGAGCACAGAGCCAGGAGTAATCCCTGAGTATCACTGCATGTGGCCCCCCAAAACAAAACTATTCCTGTGGGGTTAGGAGTGTGGCTCAGTAGCAGAGCACATGTGTGGTGCGGGAATTCAGCCCCAACATCAGAAAAAAAAGAGGGGGCAATGATTACAGAAATTAGATGCAAAGATCAGAGTAACTTGTGTCAGACCCAGATTCAGTATGGGGCACCACATGGCCTTGTCAGCATTGCTGGGTTGTAGCCCAGGAGATCCCAAATGTGCTGAATTGCTGCCTGGTTGGTTGAGTATTGTTGGATATTAACTCTAAGTGTTTTAGGCTTCATCAGAGAATTGCCCTTTTCCTCCCCACAGAAAAGCTTACAGTGCTCTTAACAACACCCCTAATCCCTTTAACCTTTCCTTTGTGCTTTAACCCCTTCTGTTAGCTACTAAATCTCCCAAGTCAGGCTTGATTACTTATAAAGTTAAACCTTCTGGTGACTCTGGTCTTTGTATCTGTAGTGAATTATTTGCTTTTCTCTTTCCCCTATAACCTTTTAATATTTCACTGTAGAACAATGTTCTTCGATTAAGCACAGAAAGGCCATTATTGCTATGCTCCTAATATTTGGGAGTAAACTGACTGTGAAATATATTTACTCCTGGGTATCCATCATAATTACTTGACTCAGGTTTTAGTTGCCATAGTTTCTAACACCTCCAAAAGCTAGGTCCCACCAAGGCATCTCTGGATGGACCTAGGGCAAGCAGCAAAGCTACCCTGGCTTAAATATGGAACAGTCTAGAAATCATAAAGCACGGTCTTGATACAAGCTTGATACAACCTTAAAGTCAGGATCCTATGGGGTAGGAAAAGCTAAACCATTCTTAGGACTTAGTCTGGGATTTACAATAAAAGCTCTGTTGGCTTTTAACCTCTTGTCTCTGGAGCCCAGTGAACTAAGTTTTGGAATCTATTTTTCTTACTCTGTTTATCCAAATAACTGTAAATATTAATAAGAAGTACCCTTAATTGTTTAATATATACTAGTCGCAAGGGAAAGAGGAAAACAATATAGATGCTGGTTACCCCTGAGCAAATTTCTCAGTATAGTCTCAGAACGTTTCCTTGAGTTAATCCCCCTGAAAGAATTGCCTCCATCAAAATGCTTTACCTCTGTAAATGATCAATAACATCCATGTGCAATCCTGTACCTCAGATCCCCTCAGACTGTCTATATAGGCTGTTTAGTTTGGAAAATAAATGGGTCATTTTGGCCATCAGTCTGTGGTCTCCCATTTCTTGTTTCTCCACCTGGGAGGCAGGGGAGGTGGTTCTCAGCCAGGAACACCTTACAATAAGAACCCAGCCCCCCTCCGCCACACACACACACACACACACACACACACACACACACACACACTTTTCCTTACAAGTATCACCTAGAGTGTCCCCCCCGCCACACACACACACAAAATAAAACACAAACAAAAAAGTTCTGGAATGATCCGTGTTTTGGAGCAGAGGATGTGGCTCCAAGGTGAAGAGCATGCCTGCATGCACGAAGCCCAAGTGTGGGTTCCCATCCACACTTGGGCTTCTGGGAGAGAATAAAGATCAAAGGGCCAGAGAGATGGTGCAGGGGTTAAGGTGCTTGCCCTGCATGCTGCTGACAAGGGGTCTCTCTGGTACCACACAATGTTCGCCTCAGCACCACTAGGATCCATCCTGAGCACAGCCAGGTGTGTCCCAAAAAACACTCTCCCCTCCACCTCTTCTCTCTTTCCCTGTCTCCCTCCCTCCTCTCTCCTCCCTTTCTCTCTCTCCTCTCTCTCTCTCTCCTCTCTCTCTCTCTCTCTCTCTCAAAGTATTTGAAGCCTTTTAGAGCAATGTTTAAATTTAAAAACAAGTCTAGGGGTCAGAGCGATAGTACAGCAAAGTAGGACACTTGCCTTGCACGCAGTTGGTCAGGGTTTAATCCGTTGCACCACAGATGAACGCCAAGCCCACCATGAGTGACCCCTGAGTGCAGAGCCAGAAAGAAACACTGAGTACCACTGGGTGTGGCCCCCAAGCTACAATAACAAGAAGTCTAGATATCACCTTCCAAGTTCATACCCCCATGCTCCGCGCTGGAGGAGATACTGTAAGAGCAACACAGAGATGTGTTTCTCCTGGGGAGAGACTGAAGCCGACCGAGAGGGCTGCCCCCCCCCCCCCCCCCCGCCCTGTGAACCTCCAGAGAGAGGTTCGTGTTCCCTTAGGTCCGCTGAGGTGGCCGGAGATCCTGGAGACTGACAACGCTCATACAACCTTTACTCCGTAGTCACCTGTTCTGTGACCGGCACTGTGTGCTTCGCGCAGATGGATCAGGCTCCATCCGTCACAGCGCGCGGGTCCGTGAGCACAAGGCCAGACAGGGATTTGCAGCTGCGGGCGCTGCGGCTTGCTGGAAAGGCGGTGACCACCCGGTAGCCCACCCCACGGCCCGCGGGTAGGGAAATGCCGGTCGCTTCTGGAGGCTGAGCATCTCGGTAGCCAGAGCAGAAGGAAGCTGCGACGGAACTTTCGGCGACTGGAAACTAGCAGAGAAACTATTACCTTGGAGGGGGAATTCCGCTTTCGAACAAGCCCATAAAATTCCGTCCTCTGCTTTGTGTTCAATATCTTCTGGGGGTGCTGTGCAAAGCGAGGTTTGGGAGTCCTAGGCAAAGCCCAGTCGAGCGGAGAGAAGACACTGGACCCTCGGGGAGGACGCGGCCCCCTCCCCGCCAGCCAGCCAGCCACCGGGATGTGCCGGGTCCTCCTCGCCGGCCTTCAGCGCACGGGGCGCCGGGTCCCCTACCCTGCCCCTGCCCCTGCCCCTGCCCCGCCGCACGGGGACCCCGATGGACGCCCGGCACCCACGGCCGGCGCAGACCCGGTGCGCGGAGCCCGTTCTTGGAGGCTGAAGCCGCCGGACCCCAGTCGCCGAGTCTGGGCAACTATTTATAGCCGCCGGCTCCCCCGGCTGCCCCTGTGCGCCCCTGTGCGCCCCTGTGCGCTGGGCGCGGGCGCGGGGATCGGCCACCCTGAGCCGGGGCGCCCAAGAGAACTCCGCGACGCCAGCACAGAGACGTGGGTGCGAGCGCGCGTGCTGGCGCCGCAGGGCTGGCGGAGCGACCGAGGGACTGTTGCGGGGCGTGGCGGGGGCCGAGGCAGGGCGGGGCGGGGCTGGCGGCGAGTCCGGCTGGGACGCTCGGGTCCAGCGCCGCCGCGAGGTCCGGGTTGGAGTCGGAGCTGGGAGCCGGCGCCCCGCGGGGAGGAGCGGTGTGAGTGCGGCGGGGCCGGGCCGGGTGGGCCGGGAGGGCTCAGCGGCTGCTCGCAGGGACTCGCGGGGGGCGCAAGGGGGTGGGGGGTGGGGTTAGGAGGGCGGCTCCAGCGGCCGGGGCCGCGAGCGCCAGTTCTCCGGAATACGGGACCCCTGGGTCGCGCCGCGGATCTCGGGGTGTCCGGTCCCCCCGCCGCGGATCTCGGGGTGTCCGGTCTCCCCGCTGCGGATCTCCAGGTGTCCGGGCTGCCCACCACGGATCTCGGGGTGTCCGGATCTCGGGGTGTCGGGATCTCGAGGTGTCCGGGCTCCCCGTTGCGGATCTCGGGGTGTCCGGATCTCGGGGTGTCGGGATCTCGAGGTGTCCGGGCTCCCCGTTGCGGATCTCGAGGTGTCCGGATCTCGGGGTTTCCGGGCTCGGCCGGGGCAGCGCCGTGCGTCGCTTTCATCTGGGACGCTGGCTGCGCAGAGCCCCCAGTGAAGCGCCTCCCGGCTGGTGCGTCTGCCTAGTTGGCGACTCGCTCTGAGAGCCCGGGGTGCCGGCGCGTCTGGTTTATCGCTGGTCACGGCTGTAGGTTCCTGTGTTCCCGAGGGACTGCAGTGACCCTGCCTTGCAGAGACCGTGCGCTCTGCTGCTGCGCCGTCGCGCAGCTTCCCGGCTTCTGAGTATTGAGCTCCGGGACACACGTGGACCCTCCGGGTTGGGCCGGGCTGGGCCTTTGGTCGCGACCCGGTTTCTTCCGAGGCACTTGACTTCAGCACCGGGGCGAGGGTTGTGTTCGTTACCCTGTTACTGGGTCTTCACGTAATGAGGCCCCTGCGTGGGACCCTATCGCGGTGCCACCAACGTCGAAAGGTCCAAGTGGTTCTGCAGTGGCCTGTGCATTACCGGCATCTGGGTGCGGCCAGTGTGTACCGAATAACTGGACACGTGCTCCAGCAGCACTTTGGCCCCTCGGCACGAGCTTCCAACGAGAGCACTGGAAACGCGCGCTCCCCAAGTATAAAAACAATCCCCAGTTGACTAGCAAAGCAAACCTGGTAGTGGGTGTGTTAGCGGGGAATTGTTCATTGACGTGAGACTATTTCACTTAAAAATTGTAACTCCCGTACTGTACCAAAAATATTAGAACACTAATTTGAGAAGCGTTTTCACCTTTTTCAGAAAACGTGGTTCCCAGCATCCCAGAACCATCTTGCTAAGCTGTAGCCTCTCCCCCTCCCCCCAATGTGCCTTGTGGACTTCACATGCCACATAGATACTAACCAGCGTTTTATAAACCCCACTTTCCCCATGATAGTGAATGAGCGCCCTGGGAATAAGGACCAGACCCCAATTCTCTCAGCAGCAGCAGACACTGTCCTGCTTTCGTCAACGCTTACTGAATCCGAGAGGGGAACCCGGGCTTTGTGATCTCCGAGGCATACATTGTCCCTACAAAACTTTATCTCTTCCACATCAAAGGATACTTAAAGAAAATAAAAGCTATACATTTTCATGGTGAGAAATTCCTCATGATAAGGCCTGTGCTCCTCTCTTTTTAAAATCTGATTCTTCAAAAGTATGATTTAGCAATGATTCCCACCCTCTTACACCAAAAGAAAATTTTTTTAATTGAATCATTGTGAGATAAACAATTATTACAACAGTTCCTGATTGAATTTCAGTCGTACAATCATGGACTCAGTCCATGATTAAGTATCAGTCATACAATGTTCCAATACCCTTCACTTCATCAGTTCACGTTTCCCACCACCCACGTCCCAGTTTCCCTCCTCCCACTCCCCCACTTCCTCCTGGGTCTGCCTCTATGGCAGACACTTTGACATTTTTCTTCTCTCCCTCTCCCCCTTTCTCCCTCCCTCTCCCTCCCTCCCTCCCTCTCTCTAGTCTTCCCTGCCTCCCACTCTCTGTCCCTCTCTCTCTCTCTCTCTCTCTCTCTCTCTCTCTCTCTCTCTCTCTCACACACACACACACACACACTCTCTCTCTCTCTTCTCTCTCCTTTTGGTTATTATGATTTGCGGTACAGGTACTGTACCCCTTGCATTTTTTAATTTAAAGAAGGGTTTGCCTTAAACATACAGTTAACAAATGAGTGACTCTGAGAGTAAGATTAGTCCAATGTTTTTCGTTCAGAACTTCTGTTTGTCTCCATTGGCACTGTTTTACTCATGAAAATTCTTCCCTAAGGACTTCTAAAGTAATCTATTATAAAAGATTCTTTTACGCTAGAATATTGGATAGATTCTCTGGGCCATACCAATTGGAAAAAGATTTGAAAAAGTGAACTTACACGTAAAGTTATTTCTGAAGAAAACATTTTGACAGTTCTTATGTGTTCATCTGTAATCGTAGCATATATAAATAAAGTAAGATTTTTGTTCACTAAGCATGACTAAAAGTAATATCTGAATATGTTTGCAAGGGATGATTTCGACTTATAGAATGCTCTTAGCTTACTGAACACACAGTGCAGACAGTGCAGTGCTTAGCTTACTGATAACATGTTACAATGGAAGTGGAAGGAAAGGCAAACACTTAAAATATGCTCTGAGCATGTTTCAAGATCTGAGTTGTGCAGTGTGGTAGGACTCTGCGCGAGAAGTGGGGACTGGCAGGTCTGCCGGTCAGGAAATTTCCTCTGCCTTGAGCATCTTCGGTCTGAGAACCAGCAAATCACAGTGCTCTCTTTTGGTCTCTAGCTTCCCCTCTGTGAGATGAGAATAAACCAGACCACTTCTGAGATTCTTCTGGCCCGAGATGCTGAGTGCATATTTCCTTGTGGAAGTGAGCCTAGAGGCATCCTCTGTGTGTGGAGAGGACAGTGCATGTACAGCTCAGAGCAGAAGGGCATGACACCTCTTCCTCACTTCAACTCGTCACCACACCCCTATAATTTTCTTTGATTATTATCAAAGGGCTATTTATCCCTGCCCCAAGCCACGCTTCTAAACAAACTGGATGCTAGTAAATTCAGTCTGACATTAAGGGTTTTTCATTTTCTTTTCAGTTTTCAATTTAACTTTTTTGTCTTCTTTCAATTATGAAATATTATTGAAGTAAATTCAAATTAAGAGCAATATGCATCCACTATGTGTACATAATTTTTACAGAAGGGAAAAATGGCAGTGATGTTTTTCTTATGTATCTCACAAAAACCTTCTTTAGGAGGTTGCCACACCCAGCGATGCTCAGGGGTTACTCATGGCTCTGCGCTCAGGAAGTTACTCCTGGAGGGCTCAGGGAACCACATAGGATTCCAGGTATCGAACCCAGGTTGACTGCATGCAAGGTAACGACCCTACCTGCTGTACTAGGCAACAAGTCATTTTTTAAAAACAAAACATAATACAATTTAATAATTGACAGGCAAAACTAGAGGGCTTAACAGAATAATGAATGAGGAGAAATATTTAAGAGTCTAAGAAGGAAGCCCAGTGTGTTAGGAACAGTCTTGGAAGAATGGTTGTGTTCTAATTATGCTCCAGACTGTACACTTTTTCTCTCAATTGTACTGAAACTAGAGCAGCTGTTAGGTTCTTGCTTCATGTTTGAACTCTAATTCTGAAAATGGTGACTAAATATTGATTTTTAGAAGGAAAACTCAGTTAAGTATTTCAAGAAGCAGTACTGTGGGGGAAAGCATTTTTTATTTTTCTCTGCTTGGATATTAAACACTGAAAATTTTTTGTTTCTAAACTAACACAGTAGTCTATATCACTTCTAGCTGAAAATTAGTTCTCACTAAGTCACAGAAAGTCCAACACTGCCAAAAACCCAAGGGCATAGGCTTAGTCTTTTTGACTAAAAATGAGAAGTTAAGACCTTGTTTACCTTGGCCACAAAAAGATAGAAAACATGTGACTTTTGAGAGGCGGATAGATAGCACAGATGTCAACAGTCCCTTGGACTTTGAGTGCAGAACTGAAAGAGGGGAGGGAGAGCAGAAGAGGCTGAGAGAAGTGACTCTGAGACTCTGGTAAAGGGTCCTGGACACTTCAGTGACTTATACAGTCTGTCTTTGTGTCCACCACAAGCATGGATGTACACATCATTGTAACCGTGTCACCTCAACTGGAAAAGGAAGGAAGGAAGGGAAGGAGGGAGGGAGGGAGGGAGGGAGGAAGGAAGGAAGGAAGGAAGGAAGGAAGGAAGGAAGGAAGGAAGGAAGATGTTAGGACTGGAGCCATAGTGGGGCACTTGCCTTCCGCTAGCCTTGCCTTGCATCCCAGGTGTTAGATCCCCTGTGGTCCCTTAAGCACCACCAGGAGTTATTCCTGAGTGTAGATTCAGGAGTGATCCTTCCCCTGCCCAGTATCACCTGATGTGACCCCAAAACAAACAAAAAGAGGAAGCAGCATGTGACTTTCCATTATGAATAGGTGATTTAAATAACCATATAATACAGCAAACATGAGGAAAATAGTACATAGATAGCAGGTACTAATATGTGTGCTAGCTCAAAAGTGATCACTGAGTAGAGTCAGGAGTAAGCCCTGAGTATTTTGGGGTGTGGCCCACCCCCTAAAAAAATAAAATCATAATACATGTATAATTCAAAAAGCAATTTCATGTACCTGGCGATTCAGTTTCTAACAGTAAATATACATAATCCTAGCAGTGTCCTAGAGTTACTAATAAAGATATTAGAAAATTAGTGTTTACTTCTACTTGGATCTCTTCAATAGCCACGTCCATCTGCCCACATACCAAATTCCGAAGGATGGATATGTCATTCCCAACGTTCTCCCTTCCGAAATCTGACACGCCATTTTGTCAGTAAAGAAGCAAACAGCACCCAGCCACAAGATCAGACCCGAACACCTGAAGAATCTGCCATCAGTACTCATCAATACACTGCTTGGTTCTTAACACACTACCTGTCTGAATGCAAGGTTCCGTCCCAATAGTAAGCCAGCAGGATTGTTCTACTGCACAAGAAAGGAGACATCCATGACATTGGCAACCATCACCCGATCTGCCTGTTGTCTGTGG